CAAACAAAATTGTTATAGTTGGCCTTTACTGTTTTATTCTTTCTTTTGAATTTCTTTAGTGCTTTAAATAATACATACATATTTAGCAACGAACTAAAGTCTGTCCTTTTTCACTCTCTCTTAGTGGCAATAATTTTATCTCTAATACCAACTATAAGAGGAGATTTATGGTTATAGTGGAAACATATTATGATTACTACAAATATAATTGAATATCATACTATGATTAAATACAATAGTAGTATTTTATCACAACATTATCATAGATGATCTGAAGATGTATTGAAGTAATAATGCTATGAGCAAAAGTAAGTGCAATGAAGTTGTTCTCGGAAACATTTTAAAATAGATTCGTAACAGGTGTAGCGTATCATATGATCGGATATGATCGAATATTTCTTACTTGTTATGTTTTTCTTATCATCATGCTGGAAAACTATGAATTTATACACATCCACACCTTTTTTTTTCCATTTGTCTGACGACAACTTTGTGATGGCACATTGAATGTGTCAAATATTCTGGGAATTTAATGTGATGTATGTTGCAACATCTTCCAAACATCTTCAATTCTCTGGTGGAAAAAAATCTAGATCTAGTACTTAAAGTAAAACGAAATACTAGATATAAAATGTAATTGAAAACTAGTTTGCAGATTGTAACTTTGTTGAGATTAAGTTACAATTTAACTACTAACTAACTAACTAACTAACTAACTAACTAACTAACTAACTAACTAACTAACTAACTAACTAACTAACTAACTAACTAACTAACTAACTAACTAACTAACTAACTAACTAACTAACTAACTAACTAACTAACTAACTAACTAACTAACTAACTAACTAACTAACTAACTAACTAACTAACTACTAACTAACTACTACTAACTAACTAACTAACTAACTAACTAACTAACTAACTAACTAACTAACTAACTAACTAACTAACTAACTAACTAACTAACTAACTAACTAACTAACTAACTAACTAACTAACTAACTAACTAACTAACTAACTAACTAACTAACTAACTAACTAACTACTAACTAACTAACTAACTAACTAACTAACTAACTAACTAACTAACTAACTAACTAACTAACTAACTAACTAACTAACTAACTAACTAACTAACTAACTAACTAACTAACTAACTAACTACTAACTAACTAACTAACTAACTAACTAACTAACTAACTACTAACTAACTACTAACTAACTAACTAACTAACTAACTAACTAACTAACTAACTAACTAACTAACTACTAACTAACTAACTAACTAACTAACTAACTAACTAACTAACTAACTAACTAACTAACTAACTAACTAACTAACTAACTAACTAACTACTAACTAACTAACTAACTAACTAACTAACTAACTAACTACTAACTAACTAACTAACTAACTAACTAACTAACTAACTAACTAACTAACTAACTAACTAACTACTAACTAACTAACTAACTAACTAACTACTAACTAACTAACTAACTAACTAACTAACTAACTAACTAACTAACTAACTAACTAACTAACTAACTAACTAACTAACCTAACTAACTAACTAACTAACTAACTAACTAACTAACTAACTAACTAACTAACTAACTAACTAACTAACTAACTAACTACTAACTAACTAACTAACTAACTAACTAACTAACTAACTAACTAACTAACTAACTAACTAACTAACTAACAACTAACTAACTAACTCACTAACTAACTAACTAACTCACTAACTAACATATCTACTCATATCTACTCTACTTCGGGGCTTCAATAGGCATATAGTGAGTCGTACATATCTCTAACGAAGGTCTTAAAATTTTTCAAAGATCCAGACAAAGATCTATGATAATATGCCCTCCTCGCCATCTTTTTACAATGGGAATTATATTGGAAATAAGACTCTCTTCCGAAAATCACTTAACAAAACCTTTTTCTGTCAAAACCATGCTGTTTAAAAATAGCACATAAATATCCGACAAAATAATGTTTTGGTTTATAATGTGGGTTAATTTCTACTCAAAACCAGAAACCACTAACGTTAGAAGTTTTCAGTAATTACTAAACGTGTTCATGCAATTATATGCATGAATGCTGCTACTATCGTATCAGGTATCTAATTTACTACGCTCTTTGGGCGAAAAACTCGAAATTTTTCATACTCAGTCAAGAGTCTCAGCCATGTGCAGTAATTTCACAATGAACATTTAAACAAAAACAAAAGAAAAAAGCGAAATTGTTAGTTAATTACATCACTAGAGCTTAAATCCAAAAACCACATTTCAATTTCCGTTTACAGCAGAAAGCACACAAATGTACATAACTAAACTTGTAGTACGGCTGTCCGGTAGTTTTATAGTTGGAGTGAAGACATCTTTTAATCTTTGTTTAGAAAACAATAGTTATTTTAGTGTTTACTAGTATGCAATAAAATAACCTGTCAAAATCCAAACTTTAGTAGGTAGCTAATGCTGGTTAAGTTCTCCAGCACTGCAGGGTAGTGTTTTTCATTTAGCATCACAAATGTTAAACTTTTCCTATACATTTTGTGTTATTGTTAACCAAAGATACAACTTACTAAATCAATAAAAATTTCTGCTGTTTTATTAGAATGAAGTGAAAATTGATAGACAGACAGACAGTAAGTATTAGAAAAGCAACATATGATTGATTTTTCAAGAATGATTAAAGCAATCACTAGATTCTAAAGATTTTCTATTTCTATACATAGACGAATATAAATGAAACATCAATTTGGCCTAAAGCTTTATAAAAACTACGTACATACACACATACAATATGAAATAAATAAGGAAACGGAAATGTAACAAAATTGAAACTACAAGAAATTATATTGGAAATTTTTATATGTGTTTGTGTTTCGAAGTTCTAACTATAACTATCAGTAACATAATATGAAATAGAATTTAATTAAAAATGTATTCAATTAAATTTAAATGTAATAAAATACTTCAACATTGCAATATTTAATATCTAGAAATTAAATATATTTTAAAATAAAATTCTTTGTAATAACTAAAATATTGATTTGTTAGTTTTAATTAATTATGTTTAAGGCCTTTTTATTAACAATGAAAATAATAACGAATTAGTTTTTGAGAATGAAATATGTTCTGAATCTGTATGATCTGTATTATAATGAATTTAAATTAATTATAATTGCATTATAAAGTATTATAATCAATTATACATTTATTATAATGTTTTATAAACAATTATAATGATTCTATAATGTTGTATAATGAATTATAAATGTATTATAATACATCATATTTGTTCTGTAAAATATAATAATACATTTTAATTCATTATAATTATGTTATAATGCATTAAGATCAATTATAATCGAATTATAATATATTATAATCAATAATAATTGTGATATAATGCATTATATCCTTTTATAATTGTATTATAATACATTATAATTAATTAAAATTGTTTCATAATATATTATAATCAAATATAATTATATGAGTATGCAGTATAAGCGATTATAATGCATTATAATACATTTTAGTTCATTATAATTATGTTATAATGTATTAAGATCAATTATAATCGTATTATAATATATTATAATCAATAATAATTGTGCTATAATGCATTATATCCATTTATAATTGGATTGTAATACATTATAATAAATAAAAATTGTTTTATAATATATTATAATCAAATATAATTATATAAGTATGCATTATAATCAATTATAATTGCGTTATAATGCATTATAATACATTATAACTATTTATAATTATATTATAATGTGTCGTAATACATTATAATCAATTATAATTCTATTAAAATGTATTTTAAGTAAAAATAATTCTGTTATAAAACATTATGGTCAATTATAATTGTTTTACAGAACATTATAATATATTATAACTTTTTATAATTATATTATAATGTGTTATTATAATGTATTGTGTATTATAATATATTATAATCAATTATAATTGTGATATAATCTATTATAATGCCTTATAATACATTTTAATCAATTATAAATTTGTTATAATACATTAAAAATCTATAATAATTGTATTATAATGCACTTCAATCAATTTCTGAACGTCTCAAATATCTAATGCTACCAAATCTTTAACCCATTAATCAGTTATACAATATATAACATATTATAATCAATTATAATTTTGATTTGCTCTATTATAATGCATTATTAAACATTTTAATCCATTATAACTTTGTTATAATGCACAAAAACCAATAATAATAAAGTTTTGAAAGATTAAACTTTATTATTCTTTTCAGAGTCTCTATTATATAATTTACAAATATACAGCTTTCCCTAAATAAAATTCCCCCAATAAACAAATGTTCTCATAAACTTTAAATTTTCTATTCCAAGCAATAAAATTTTATCTAGTGTAAATTTTTCTTAAATTGTTAATAAATAAATACATTTCTATAAAGGTATATAGAGGAATTAACTTAAGATCCTTTTACCCACTTACAAGACAACAGCAACAACAACAACAACAAAAATAAGTCATTTAAGTGTAAAATTACAAACAACAAAACTTCTTGTATTCCTTTAACAATTTGAATACTAAAAACTAAAAGTATTTTTATAACCTCTTTTTAGAGGAAAGAAAAAAAGATACAAAAAAATTGATTTTTGTTTCCTATTCTCTTTTCTGTTACTTCTATTTTATTTATAACACAACAATGACGACGTTCTTGGTGATGGTGTTTGCTACAATATGGATGCTGTCTTTCATCATGTCTTCATCGTTTTTACATAAACAAATAAAAAAAAATCAAATTTAAACCAAATTCCAACAACAACCAAACTCACTTTATACATCTATCCATCTATACCTCTAATGCTGTGTTGCATTGCTGTAATCTGGAATAACAATAACGGCTAAAACAACAACAACAACTACTAATACAACACAAACAACATATTGTTACAATACATTAATAGCGCGTGGTTTTGGTATGCGTGTTGTGGGCGGTAAGACTGGTGCTGATGGCAGACTATTTGCGTATATTGTTTGGACTGTGCCTGGAGGACCAGCTGAAAAGAATGGTTTACAACAGGGCGACAAGGTAATTGAGTTTACTTCACTACAATAATGTTGATTTTTAGATTGTTTCTATATGTCGACCTTTATGTAAAAAAAATTAGAGAGCGATTTGCGAACCCTTTAAAAATGAAGTTAGCTTAATTTTTATAGAACATATAATAAATGCAATTGTTGTTAAGCTACAGCTAATTATAACTGTGTTGAATATATTATAAACTATTTTATTTGCATAATAATGCATTGTAACCAATTATAATGCATTATAATCAATTATAATGCATTATAATCAATTATAATGCATTATAATCAATTATAATTATATTATAAAGCAATATAATTAATTATAATTGTGGTCTAATATATTATTATCAATTATAATGCATTATAATTGGATTATAATACATTATAATCAATTATATTTGTAGTGTAATGTAATATACTCAATTAGAATTAAATTATAATGCATTAAACTCAATTATATTTGTATTATAATCAATTATATTGGTAATAAAATTAAATATAATCAATTATATTACATTATATTACATTATAAAGCATTAAAATCTATTATAATCGTATTATAATACTTTATTATCATTCATAATTGTATTGTAATAGATTAATAATAATTATAATAGCAAAATAATGCATTATTATTAATTATAATTTTACGATAATGCTTTAGAATCATTATAATTGTATTATATATGAAGCATAATACATCATTATAGTATTATTAGTAATTATAATTATTTATATTTGTTTTATAATATATTAGAATTAATTATAATTCTGTTATAATACTATATAATTCATTATAATTTAATAATAATAATATAATCAGTTATACGAGAATTATAATACTTTAAAGTCAATTATAACTTTATTACAAAGAATTGTAATTAATTACAATTTGATTATAAAACATTATAATTTATTATAATTTGATTATAATACCCTATCATCAATTATACATTTATTATAATGCATTCAATCAATTATAATTGGATTATAATACACTACAATCAATAATAATTTTAATGTCTTGTATTATAATCACTTATAACTAGATTATAATGCATTATAATCAATTATAATTGAATTATAATACACTGCAACCAATTATAACTTTATTATAATGCATTATAATCAATTATAATTGGATTATAATACACTACAATCAATAATAATTGTAATATCATGTATTATAATCAATTATAACTATATTATAATGCATTTTAACCAATTATAATCGCATTATACTGCAACAAAATCAATTATAATTGCATTATAATGCATTACACATCAATAATTGTATTATATTAACATTATAGTCACAATATTATTGTGTTATAATAAATTATAATGACTTATAACTGCATTATTATATAAATCAAATTTCACTTAGCCTATTTGAAACAAATACCATCCAAGTTCTTAACATTAGCGAGAAAAAATATCAACTGTTTATAACTTAACTTCATTTTAAGGGGGTGAGGCCGGCACCATATTTTTAATACCAATCCATTCAAATTTACATACTATATGTACATTTGAATGTATTATGGTAAAAATTGAAAGTGAGTAGGAGTTTGCTAGTACGTTTTATATAAGTATAGAGATTGTTTCATAAATATATTTGTTTGGCTAACCCACACACAGAATTCATGGGGGTTATAAATACATATGTAGATATTTTGTAATACCATTGGTGATATAATGAATCCATGTTGGTGGTCATGGATTGAAATCCGAATTGTATTGTGATCGTGAAATTTTAACAAAGTGTTATTTTTAGTCTTATGATATATCAACGCTACTTTGGTTAATTGAGAACTTAAAAAAAAGTTAAACTACTAACTAAAGTTATGAGTAACATTATAACCTATATACATACATATAAGTAGCAAATACCCGACTATGCATCAAATTTTTTAAGTCTTAGAATTTCTATTAGTTTTCCTGTTGATGCCTCTCTATTGCTTTTAATTAACTTCGTTTTCAATTTATGCTTTTATTACATTTTCTACCACGATTACTTGACTATTTGCCACACGTTTACTAAAGTGTAATATTGAACAGATCTACTTATTTGCCATGGTAGACCTGTGCAAATGCCTTCTCATATTATGGAAAAGAATTTCTTTTATTATTTCTTCTTCTTTTTTTCACAAAGCAAATAAAGTTAGTGATTGATAGGTTAATGAGTATGCATTTGCATATAGACTGGTTGGTAAAAAGGATTTTTCAAGGATTGGCATATCTTTGGAAATAATAAGAAAACTATAACGTGATGGTTTAATAAGGAATATATTGAAAAGTGTTAAGTTTAAGCTAGAGAATATAAAGACATCTAATGTTATTTTATAATTTATAAGAAAAATCAAATCAAATAATTGCAATATAATGAATTATAATGTGTTATAATTGTATTACAATACTTTATAAAGAATTATAATGCAGTTATAATGAATTATAATCTATTATAATCTATTATAATTATATTACAATACATTATAAATAATTATAATGTATTATCACGCATTACAGTAGATTATAATGTATTATAATGCAATATAATATTACTATAATGTATTTTGATAGATTAAAATCATATTTATTATATTTAAATGAATAGTTTTATATTTTTGTAAATTATAATTGTTTTATAGGGTATTATAATCAATTATAACTGTGTTATAATACATTATAATGAATTATAATACAATTTTAATTTATTATAATGCATAATGATGCAATTATAATGCTTTACAAAACATCTTGAGAAATTATATTTATATTCTAATATATTATAATGTATTATAATGACATTATAAGGCATTATTATAAATTATAATTGTATTATAATAAATTATAAATAAAACACCACCCTAATAAAAGTATTCTTGCATTTCAAAAAGAATCTCAAATTTAATATAATACTCTCGTAATCAATATTGCAGTAATTTCGTCTAAGTATGATTTAGCATAAAGAAAGAACATAATTTAAGAATAAAATAAATTTATTCTAAAATAGATACATATTTACATACTCACAAAATCATAAATAATATCTACATATGCATAAAGTGTTTTTTTATACAAAAATTGTATGAGAGTATATTTATGTCTTTCATAAAAAAGAACCTTTAAGGCATTTTTATGTTGACAACAATAATTCTTTTTTATATATTTTTATCATTTTTTGAAATACTACTATTACATTGGTCGTTGGCCTTTTTTTTGTGTGTAAATTTATGATAAGAGTAATACGAAAATGAAATTTTTGCTTGTATGTCCACGTATGTTTGTTATTAATATAGAAAAAAAATTGTATGAAAAAGAAATCTTTTTTTGTTCAGTTATATTTTATTTTAATGTCAATCATTTTTAAGTACATAGTCCTTCATATTTGTGCATATGTAGACTTATATTATAATCAACTTAAATTTTTTTATGAAAAATAAATCTCCCAAAAAATGAATCTTTATTTAAATTGCCTTTGACAGTTAATGGCTGGAGCGAAAATGTTGATAAAAGTGTTTAAATGAAATTGTTAGACAATTTTTACTAAAACGAATAAATTTTAGATTTAATGAAACCTTGATAACTGACTAACTAACTAACTAACTAACTAACTACTAACTAACTAACTAACTAACTAACTAACTAACTAACTAACTAACTAACTAACTAACTAACTAACTAACTAACTAACTAACTAACTAACTAACTAACTAACTAACTAACTAACTAACTAACTAACTAACTAACTAACTAACTAACTAACTAACTAACTAACTAACTAACTAACTAACTAACTAACTAACTAACTAACTAACTAACTAACTAACTACTAACTAACTAACTAACTAACTAACTAACTAACTAACTAACTAACTAACTAACTAACTAACTAACTAACTAACTAACTAACTAACTAACTAACTAACTAACTAACTAACTAACTAACTAACTAACTAACTAACTAACTAACTAACTAACTAACTAACTAACTAACTAACTAACTAACTACTAACTAACTAACTAACTAACTAACTAACTAACTAACTAACTAACTAACTAACTAACTAACTAACTAACTAACTAACTAACTAACTAACTAACTACTAACTAACTAACTAACTAACTAACTAACTAACTAACTAACTAACTAACTAACTAACTACTAACTAACTAACTAACTAACTAACTAACTAACTAACTAACTAACTAACTAACTAACTAACTAACTAACTAACTAACTAACTAACTAACTAACTAACTAACTAACTAACTAACTAACTAACTAACTAACTAACTAACTAACTAACTAACTAACTAACTAACTAACTAACTAACTAACTAACTAACTAACTAACTAACTAACTAACTAACTAACTAACTAACTAACTAACTAACTAACTAACTAACTAACTAACTAACTAACTAACTAACTAACTAACTAACTAACTAACTAACTAACTACTAACTAACTAACTAACTACTAACTAACTAACTAACTAACTAACTAACTAACTAACTAACTAACTAACTAACTAACTACTAACTAACTAACTAACTAACTAACTAACTAACTAACTAACTAACTAACTAACTAACTAACTAACTAACTAACTACTAACTAACTAACTAACTAACTAACTAACTACTAACTAACTAACTAACTAACTAACTAACTACTAACTAACTAACTAACTAACTAACTAACTAACTAACTAACTAACTAACTAACTAACTAACTACTAACTAATTTGAAAAAATTAAATTCTATGCATCAAGCTTTTCCTTATCATTTTGAGAATATTTACAGCTTAAAGCTTTTCCATATCATGTTGAGAATATTTAGAGCTTTAAGCTTTTCCATATCATGTTGAGAATATTTAAAGCTTAAAGCTTTTCTTCGATCTTGCAGATTTTGGCATTAGAATTCTTAACAAATGTTCACTTCACTTTAAAAATTTCAATTAAAATTTATTAAAACTAAAACCCCATTCCCAACAATTTACAGATTTTAGAATGGAATGGCATGTCTTTAATCGATCGCAGTTTCGAAGAGGTCTGCAGTATAATGGATCGTACAGGTGACGTAGTGGAATTGTTAGTAGAACATGCTACCGACTTTCGTATGTGTGATTTATTCGATGAAAATATACCACCCGGTAATAGTGGTGGCAATGAAAGAGGACCCAGACGTTCGGGTGATGGACCCATTGGTTTGGGTTTAATAGCGGGTAAGTTTGCGACAGCAAATTATCATAACTGTTAATAACTAAATGTTGTAATATTTGCACCTTAATGTCTTTAATATGAAAATTTTGAAGACATTCAAATGTAAATAAAAATATTTAAATAAAGTTTTAAGTTTTTCTTAAATAAACTAACTTATGATTCTTTTGTTATAGAAGAAAAAAAAACGTAAAACATGTTTAAACTTATAAATTTTTTTGTATGTGTTTATTTTTCTTATCTTCTCATTGATTTTTTTTTACGTTTTAACAATTTTTGTTCTTTTTTTAATCTTCATGCTACAAAAAAACAAATAAAATCAAAACATTATGTCTCACTACCATCAATAACTACTACAACAAACCAAAACTACAACAACCACCATGTCTATATATAAAAATCAAAAAAATATATAGACCCCGAAACTACTACAGACAAATCACCGGCTTCGCCGACACGACGGAAATTACCCAAAACTCCGGTATAAATAATAATTCGTTTTTAAATTATATTTAAACATTATTTAGTAAATTATTTATTTAAACATAAAATACAAAAAAAAAAACAACAACTACCACTTGTAGTAAAACTTTAAATTGAAATGAAATTATCTAGAAAAAAGTTTGCAAAAAAAAAAATTGTGAAAAATAGTTAAAAAAAAAGAAATTTTGAAAGTTTTTTTTCGAAAAAGAAAAATTACTAGTTTAAACAAAAACACTTTTCTACAAAATATAAAAAAAAATATTAATCATAATTTTTAATTTATTTTAAAGTTTTTTACACACACAGCTTCATTTGTTTTAAGTTAAGTCTACTTTTAGCGCCTAAAAGTATGCTTGTTTTTCTTATTATTAATTAACACCTTAAAGTATACTTTATTAAAATTAAACTGTGAATGTTTTTTATACTTTTTGAAGTATTTTTTTGATTAAAATTAATTTCAATTAAAAAGCAACACTAACATATTTCACTTTTTTCTATATTAATGATTCGAATTTTAATTTATGGTTTTTAAACGCTTTTTATTTTAAAATTAGTTTGAATAAAAATTAATTTTTTCCCAAAAATTCCTTAAATATTAATTGTATGTAGAAATTTGATTATAATTAAATTGAAGTAATTAAAAATAAATTATTTTTTTCTAAATATTTGGCTTCAGTTTGTTAGTTATTGGATTTTAATATCTCATTTCAAAATGTTTCTTGTAATTAGAAAGAGTTTATCTATTAAGAAACATTCTGAATAATTTTTTAAAAATTATTTTTTATATTTTTGTTTTAATTTTTAATCACCTTTTATAAATTGCAGTACAATATGTATTATTATTAATATTTAATCGATGTTGTAGTTTTAGAATTTTTTTTAATTACTAAATAATCTACAAAATATTATATATAGAAAATTATAAAAACAAAAAAACGTTAAACAAAACATTTTACCAAAAGAATACAACTAAATATATTTAGGCAAATAAAAACTAAAACAAAACTGCTACAAATGACCTTTTTAGAGAGATATTTCAGAAAAAAGTTTTCAACATTTAGTACAAAAAATTCTTCTCAAAATATGTTTTAAACTCTTAAACATTTATACGGATTTTCTATTTTATCGTTGGTTTCGTTTTAGTCGGATTTTAGGGAATTTAAGTTCTCAATATAGTAGCCAATAGCAGTAACAAATTTTTAGATTACATAAGCCAACATATTTTGAACACTTTTCGGAAGTATTTAATAGCGCTGTTTCCATCACATCTGATTTTCTAGATATTGTATCATGAAGTTTGAAAAACTCCAGTTCTAGGCAATATTTGGGAAGACACCTTTATCTGTCATCAATCGACTTTAAAATCTTCTTTCTTCGAGATATCTTAACGTTTGAAACAACTTTATTTGCTGATCGTGTTGAATATTACATCTAGGGGAATATGCAAATCAATTAGCGAAACCTAAAGAGCAATCCATTAAGTTCGTATTCATCGTAACGAATACACAGTAGATCCACCCGAAAGAAATTGCAGTTGAATGCTCTTGAATATTTCCCTGGCTAAGGTATCGAACACGACTGTTTCGATATAACAACACTTCTATTAGACATGTTGAGTCCTGGTTAAAGCGTTTAACCATTAAAGGACAATTTGCTTAGATGCTCGAATAGTGATTCGGCTTAACATAACCTAATAACAAGCTCAGTATGGAGTCAAACGATAAAGTCCAATTAAACGCCCGTACATATTTTAGATGGATAGGAATTGAAACTTTAAACTGTAAACTCGAAATTACAGAAGTCGAGTGGTTTACGCGAACACCTGCCAAATGCCCTTTCACAGGGGTACTTTCACAACCACAGGGAAATTGAAATAGAATGGAATTGCAGTTGAAATCTTTTGAACGAATCAGTTTCGCAAACTAATATCGAACATGACTGTTTCGATATAACAATACCACAAGTAGACATGTTGAATCTTGGTTAAAGCGATCATCCCTTATAGGGCAGGTCTTTTAGATGTTTGAATACTGATTCGGCTTAACAAGTTCCTAAGCTTCATTTTTATTCAAAGGTGGCCAGAATTCAAACTCTTCATACTCTGGACACAAAAGATCAGAAGTCGAGTGATTAATGTTAACACGTGTCAAACGGCCTATTCTAAGCTGGTACTTTCACAGCCACAGGCAGTACTCGAGACTACACACCAGCACCCCTTTGTGTACTTTGCGAAGAACACGTAGGTGTAAATTTTTGCACATGGTTCCGACGGACCATGTACAAGCACTTTTCTCGTGTACTTGAGCTACCTAATCTCTGACCATTGCTTCCGAGATGCAAAAACATCTCTTCCGTTTACAACCCCGCAGATGGAATGATCTCTGTTGATTCGGCAAAAACACCTATAGATGAAATCAGTAGTCCGTAATACGAATCCATCAAATAAGCCATGGCCAAATTCTTGACAAAGAAGGGAATTTTTATGATGCCATCCGAATAAGATACCGAACATTCATCAGCATGCAACCCATTAGTAACTTATTTATACGACATGTTCAAGAGAAAATACTCGAGATATTAATACGAGTATATGGGTATGGCTATTATCATGTATTTTACTCATTTAACACCAACTCACTCCCATCTTTGAGTCCCACAACAATGGCAACAATTTATCTCGAAATATAGATTTCCCCGTGCATCAGTCTTGATCGATTTTGTATTTAAAACAAGGCAACCACATGCACCCCAAAGGAACCTTTTATTCAAGAGAACCCATGTAGGGTATGTCTGGGTCCATACACCTCCTATTTATCATGTATCTTCTTCATTTAACACCAACTCACTCCCAACATTTAGTCCCACAGATATTCGTATGAGGGTTATCTGCTATCTTTTTTGGCAACAGCACCGAATTAATTCCGAAATATATATTTCCCCGTGCATCAGTCTTGATCGGTTTTATATTTAAACCCGAAAGAACCTTTTCAATAAAGGGGGCAAAAAAAGTCCGAAAGTCTGCCTACTGGGCTACCGTTTTCCGTGGCACCAGATATCATAGGTGTTCCGGGTCGACTTCAAGTCAGTCAAATCATTCTTAGGCAAGGTCGATAATACATTTGGCACAACCCCGGCAAACTAGAGGTACTGGTAGCCCCTTTTTTCTCTGTTCATTACAATGGGAAAGATTCATCAAGGTGTCATGCACCGGGGGAAGGGAGGAAGTTTTTAGACATGAAAGTATAGTATTCGCTAGACTCTTATGCATGGACTGGTGCTTCTACTAAGATCTCCAACTCTATTGATTCCCTGTAACAATGTGTTGCTCGAGATTTTGTTCCCAGAACTCGCAGCTTTATATGCAATATTCGCTTTTCTTCATTTGTCTACGATGGGACAGTAGAAGTATTGCCTGATAATCCAAGAACCATATATTTTCTGAGAGTGTATTATCCAGTATCTCAGAATTGACAGGCAAATCGGTGCCCCTTTAATAAAAAGTTTTTAGATCGTACCAGGAAGGAAAGACTACTAGTCGATATAGGTAGCAGTCGCCTTATTTATATATACTACGGCTTCCTGAGGTGCATTATAAATCGGATTCTGTTGTTTTTCCACTTGAGCATTAAATTTCATTTCTCATTCAATGGCCACTTTCTCCTCGAGGAATCAACTACTTTCTTACAAGTAGTTTCATGTTTAAAATATCGGGATATCAACAAAGTGTTATTATTACTGTATTTTTTTATAACGATTAAGCCCTCTAGACTCGTCACAGTTGAAAAACGATTCACAATAGTGCGATTCACGCATAGAAGATAGTGAAATAGAACATTTTGGGCAATTAGTATTTGATCTCTAGCTTTTGCCATTTCGCAGAAAATTTCTTTAAAACAATTCTCTCTCTCACTAAACAAAATCTCTGAACTATATTTTGAGTTCTTATGTTTTTATTAAAAAAAAATTTCTTTTCATTGAGTAATTTCAAATTACTCTCACAGTAAGAGCAAAGCACCAAATTTAAAATAAAATAATATTTTAATTAAATTAAGATATTTAATAAAACAAACCAAGACCTTAACTACTTACAAGGACTAAAGAAATTTTTAAGAAATCTATAGTTTTCAAAATAAACTAATAAAATACTGCATAAAATATGTATGCCTTAAAATTATAGAAAATAATTTTTCTTAAAAACTCTGTTAAACCAATTAGCAAAAGTTAAAAGTATTTCAAAAATTGTTTTTAACAATATTTAAACCGAACAAAAGAAATACAGGGTCTTTAACTAAAAAAGTAAACCTATAGAGGAACAATAATAAAAATATAAAATTCATTTAACTAATTAACTATACCTACACTCAAACAAATAAAAATAAAACTCTATATAAATATAATAAACAAATTAATTAAACTAAACTAAATAAAATAAAATAGTAAAATTAACAACAACAAAAAAGTTAATTAATAAATAATTAATTGTGCTGTAATAAATGTTATTTAATTTAATGTAGATCAAAACCATAAAAAAAACATATTTATATAAAGTCAAACAGATTATTAAATTATTTGGAAAAATACATATTGAGTAGTAATAATAATTATACTATTATTTCGTTGAATTGTGTTGATGTTATTTTTTGAGAGTTATATTTGAAAATACAAAAAAAACTAATTATATACATATTATAACAAAAGTAATGTTGTGGTAGTTAATGAATTAATAATCCAAAAAAGTTAAAGTTAATATTAATAACTAAATAATAGTATGTGTACAAGTATTTATAGACATATTTATTTGTTATTTGTTGTAAACGAATCATTACTGACACATTGTTGAGTTGAACAATTGAAATTGACACTTGTTTGTAACAGTATGTTACCTAACTGGATCTTTAACAAAAAGGATGTTGCTAAACAAATTTTCTTACCTATAAAGTTATGAGTTCACTATAACCTTGACTACTACATTCTATAGTCCAGACAATAGCCTGTTGT